TCCACAAGGATTGCCGGAGGAACGAAATGATACCACAAGGGGATCGCGCGTGTTTCTTCAGGGAAGATAAGGATGCTCCATGGATGTCTTACACCATCACACTGAATCCAAAGGATCCACATGGTTGCCCCATACGCTTTCTTGTCAAAACGCAGACGGTTTTCAGATACATGTAACTGCTGAACTTTCCTGGGTGGGATCGGTACAACTTGGACGGGTGCCGTCCCGACATGCTTCTGGACCCGTTCAAAGTGGTCGGAATCCTGTCCCACATTGCATTCCCAGCCCGCCTTTTCCTCCCTGCCCTCCCTCTGCCATGCCTCGCACTGCCCCGTGTCCCCCATTTCTCTCCTCCGCCCTCCGTGCCCCCAAGGCCTACCCTTTGGCCTTCGCCCGACGCCTCCCCTAGGCCTACCCTAGGCCTATCCCTAGGCCTACCCCTAGGGCTACCATAGGCCTCCCCCTGGGCCTTCCCCCTAGGCTAACCAAGGTCTATGTCCTGGCGACCCGCCCCGACCCACCCGTCAGTGTCCGCCCGACCCGACCCGATCCGCCCGTTAGGGTCCCCCTGGCCCGACCCGTACGACCCGACCCGTGAGGGTTCTCGCGTGTCCACTCGGACATGCATCATTTTTGAATGTCCCGCCCGCCCGACTCGACCCGCCGGGTAAGGTCCGACCCGATGAGAGCCGACCCGCCCGTTAGGGTCCGCCCGACCCGACCCGACCCGCCCGTTAGGGTCCGCCCGACCTGACCCGTCCTGTCCCGACCCGACCCGTAAGGGTTGTCGCGTGTCCCTTCGCACAGGCATCAAGGGTTTCATGTCCCGCCCGCCCGACCCGACCCGCCCGTTAGGGTCCGACCCGACCCGACCCGCCCGTTAGGGTCCGCCCGACCCGACCCGTCCCGTCCCGACCCGACCCGTTAGGGTTCTCATGTGTCCATTCGCATTATATTTTAATGTCCCGCCCGCCCGACCCGACCCGCCCGTTAGGGCCCGACTTGACCCGACCCGGCCCACCCGTTCGGGTCCGCCCGGCCCGGCCCGACCCGCCCGTTCGGGTCCGCCCGTCCCGTCCCGACCCGACCCGTTAGAGTTCTCGCGTGCCCGTTCGCACATGCTTGATATTTTCATGCCCGTTCGGGTTCGCCCGTTCACACGTGCCCTAATGGGCGGGCCGGGGCGGGTCGCTGCAGCGACCCGCCCGGCCCGCCCGTTAGGGTCCGACCCGACCGACCCGACCCGCCCTTTAGGGTCCGCCCGACCCGACCCGTCCCTTCCCGAACCGACCCGACCCGTTAGGGTTGTCGCGTGTCCACTCGCACATGCATCATACGACCCGCTTGTTAGGGTCCGACCAGTCCCGCCCCGACCCACCCGTTAGGGTCCGCCTGACTGGACCCGTCCCGTCCCGACCCGACCCGTGAGGGTTCTCGCGTGCCCACTCGCACATGCGTCATATTTTAACGTCTCGCCGACCCGACCCAACCCACCCATTGGGGTCCGACCCGTCCCAGTCCCTTTTCTGTATTCGTTCTCCTCATCCTCATTATCCTCACTTTTCATCCTCTTTCCTCCTCGTTCTCACCCTTTTCCCTTCTCTCCCCTGTTTACCTTCTTTCCTCCTCCTCCGCACTGTTTCTCCAGACTCCCCCTTTTCACCAGTCCTCCCTACTCACTCCTCACTTTACCTCTCCCCCCGTCATCCTCAGCCCTCATTATCATTTTTCCTGGAGTTCACCCTCTCCCTTCTCTCTCTTGCTCCTCGTTTATCCTCCTCGCTCCTCCTCCGCCCTTCTTCTCATCACTTCTCGTTTCACTCCTCATCTATCTTCACTCCTCACTCTACCTCTGCACTTTTCTTCCTCCTCATCCTCAGTCCTTCTTGTCACTATTCCCTCCCCTCGTGAAGCGGAGGACTGAATCGATCCCCACAGCCAATGTTGGATGTGCGTGAGGACGGTTCCTGGGAGTTGCTGATCATACCCAGGCTGTGACGCCTTTGGGGTTGGCATTTCTTAGGCCTACCTTGAGCCTGACCTCCTAGGCCTACCCTAGGCTTACCCCTAGGCCTACCCCCTAGGCCTACCCCCAAGCCTTGCACCTAGGCCTCTCCCTAGGCCTACCCCCTAGGCCTACCCCCTAGGCCTTCCTTGGGCCTACCCCAAGGCATACCACCTAGGCATACCCTAGGCATACCCCTCCTAGGCATGCCCCCTAAGCCTGCCCTAGGCCTACCCCTAGGGCTTCCCCTTAGGCCTACCCTAGGCTTACCCCTAGGGCTTCCCCTAGGGCTTCTAGGCCTACCCCTAGGCCTTGGCTAGGGCCTACCCGAGGCTACCCTGGGGCCTTGGGTAGGGCCTACCCTAGGCTACCCTAGGGCCTTGGGTAGGGCCTAGTGTAAGCTACCCCCCTCGGGTTCTCTACTAGACCCTCGACTCCCTCCCCTTTCGGGCGTTGCGCAATGGGGGGCGATCAACCTGGGGGGCGAAGCAGCGCGCGCGTCTTTGTGCCCTGCAGGGGCCCCCCCTGGGCCCAAAAGGGGCACGAGAGGTGCACACGCGTCTGCCCCCCCCCCCCCCCCCCCCCCCCCCCCCCCACCCCCCCCCCCCCCCCCCCTTCCCCCCGCCCCCCTCTATGCGACGCCCGACC